AGCAGGACAGAAATGTTCCTGATAGTGTAAACATTTGTGTGGTATTTAACCTTGGTTATGTTTCATTAAATATTGCCAAGCTATGTTTTAGGATGTAAATGGTGCAGGGGTTTTTAGGATTTTTTTTTTCGTTGCAGAAAGGATACATTTTCCTTTGAAATAACTCTTATACCTACATATAATATTTGTTATTTGGATTATCTATCAAGGGCACAAACTGTTTTTAATAGCATAACCTAAGCCAGTTGTAAGCCTTTCTTTTATTGGACCAGTGCAAAGGATATATTTGTTTGGTGTTGTTCTTCTCTTGCAAATTTGAAGCACAGGGTTATCTAACACAAAATCAGATTCCAGGGAGGACAAATTAGTTTCTGCAAGCAGTTCTGAATATCCCACTCTAAGGTTATTAACTTGTTAGCTCTGGGCTTAAATCCCATTTTCTAAAGGTAACAGTTGTGGAAGTTAAGATCAGTAATCTACCCCCAGAAAACGTTTCTCTCAGTCCGCTGGCACCAGCTGACAAACACTTGACGGATCATGGCAAGCTCTTCAGTAAGGGAGGCACTATTCATCATGTGTGGATGCTTAATAGGGTAAAGAAGGGTAATACATTGTAAATGGGGATAAGTTAAGTAAAGTGCCTTGTGACACTTGAGTTAAGACAAAAGAAAATGGGGAGAGTATGAACGTGACCAGATGTGAAGTCCTTTAAAGGTGTGGAAGACAGGCACAGCCAGACAAACCTTATGATTGGACCTCTCATTTGCAGTTCTCTTCACATATACAATACTGCATATATAATGTGATTTGCCTTGCGCATATGGTGACACTTGTGGCAACAATGGATCTATTCACATCAAAGATTGTTAGGTTAATTCTCCAAGTGTGTGGCATTTGCTCTGTATTGTTCCATAAAGTTTGTCTGTTTGTGGTCTTAATTATGTAACCTCATTTTACCTGATAATCTAGTTTAATATGTTGAAGATTATTAGGATCATATAAAAAGGAAAAAGCTATCCCAGTAATTACTGAATTCCTCTAGGTATCGGGAATAATTTAGTAGTGTTGCTGTAGAAACCAGACCAAATGAAATTACATATAATGTAGGGATAAAACGTTTGAGAGCAGAAATTTTATTCACTGAAATAGGTACATGTAATTGTAAGCAAGTGTTTTCCATTAAATGAAAAGAAAGAAATGTAAGAGTCATTTCAGAGAAGATATTTGGTAATTCGATTTTGATGCATAACCAACCGAGTTCATTGAACAGCGTCAACATGACACAACCTTAAAAATTTCACCATTGCGCCTTGTTTTTGAAACCAAGGCTTATCTGCAATCCCGCATGTAACCAGAAGTAATCTACCGTAGAGAATAAATAAAACATGATCACAATTTAAGTGAAACTGATCATTCTTTTAAAATGTGCCCTATTTGTACACCAGACTGTTTATATTTGGAGAGAAAACAGAACCAGGGGTTGGAAGGCTCCAGACACGAGGAGGAAAGGAGACGTAGCCAGGGGATAAGATTATGTAAATTGGGTCAACAATTTCTTAATTTTTGGTTCTGCGAATCTAGCTAAATTTATCTGTTGCATCATATTCTTTGTTTAAAAGAATTTGCTTCTTTTATCTGTCAAATCAAAAATTTGAGCCAAACTACAGACTGATTATCAAATAACGTTTTATTTGCTTCTATTTTTAATGCAAAAAAATGATGTTGCTAGTCATTTGTATTGGGAAACATCTTACAGTGGATCAATTATTAGGCAAATTTAATAGAAATTAATGACAAAAAAAGTTTCACATTTTCTTTTACCAAAAGAACCCTATTTGAGATCATTTTGCAGAACTGAGCAAAGCCCAGGGATGCCATGCTTGATTCCAATAACTTCAATTACCTGTAATGACAGTGTAGACAGTGCCTGTCTTTGTAGCTCTAAATAACATGTGTTGATGTTATGTCCTGTGTTGTTATCTTTCCAGTGGAGAGCTCTGGGAAAGAGCTCTAGGAGACAGTAGGTACATGAGGGGAATAGATAGGGAAAATAGCTGTACCTTTGATGGGAAGATATAGGATAGGGCTGAAGTTGTTAACTATGGTCCCCATTGTCTGATACAGTTTTTAGAACTAAACTATTTAATTAAAAATTGTATAATACACAGAATCCTGGAGCAGGAACAGGTCAAGCAATGATTTGTGTATAGGAAAAAAATATCCATTTTCAAAAAAAATTATATTAATTTTAAGCTAATGTATGTAAAATTTCAATAAAATCCCAAAGTTAAGTCAAAAAAGAAGCTTGTGATAATAATCTGCCATATGCAGTATGTATCTTGTAGATTACCCAGTACACAGCAAAAAAAAAAAAAAAAATTATACAGTGTTGCTTTAGTGATCACATTTGTATTCATTACATATGATGTGAATGCAGTATATCACAAAGCATGATGAAGATCTACTAGGGATTCCTTTTTGGATTTGGAAAATCCCATTAGGAAGAGAGCATTTTGAAAACTGTGTAATAACAAACTCGGTCAATAATTTCTTTATTTACCTAAAGGATGCCATATTTCCTGTAGCCTGCTAATACTAAAATTGCTGACTTCAATCAAGTACATTAATTTTGACACCCAGGTAGAGAAAAAATAAACTGACTAATAAACTTCAGCAAAAATTTAATAAATGAAGGGTTGGAAACATGATGTAATGGGAAGTAAAAAAAAGCAGTCTTTGTGAAGAAAAAAAGATTAAAACCTGAAGTTAAGTAATCTCAGTCTGAGTATTCATATTTTAAAACTAAAAAAGGAAGAAGTATTTCTCTTCACACCATGAGGAACTTTCTGGCAAACATTCTTGCCAGATTAGCCAGATTTTCGGATGGCGGAAGTGAAGGTTTTAGGACCACCATAGCAGGAATAAATGATCTGAACACAACACTTTTCTACTAGATAATTACACTGTACGGCCACCACTGCCAGCGTTCTACCTCTCAGCTTTGAGAAAGTGGGCGGCCTGAAACGTCTTCCACCTTGTTATTATTATGATCTAGCATAAGTTTTGTCACTGGAAGCTAAGTTTAGACGCGCCAAAACAAAGTCTTAGCGGCTCAAGGTACCCAGGGAGACAGCCCTTTGAAACATTAAAATGCCGTAATCCTCAGATCATCGAACCTATAGTTAAAGTTCATTAAGACTGGATAAATATCATTCTGTCCTCTCCTCCCCCGTGCACTTAGTCTGATACAGAATTGTCTCCGCGTGGATTAGCCATGGGATATTTGGACTGGATTAAAACGTTGAAATTGTTACTTGCATGCAGCCCCATCGGGTAGAAATCCTAGCTGAAAGCCTAAAATAATATCATATCTTGTAACTAGCAGGCAAGGTGTGTACCAGGTATTAAAATGCTTTTTCCATTTGAATTAATCCTCAGTCAACAACACTGAGTGAAAGTTAACCTGTCACTAGTGGCTCATTGTATGAACAAGAGATTGTCTGGGACTTTCTTGACCCCAGGACTTAAGACGGAGATTCAGGTTTGAAGCACAAAGTTAGTCCAGAGAGTGAGAAGTAGAGGGTAAATTTACTTTTAATTAACCCTTTCGTAGGATTAACCCGAGTTAGGCAAAGAGTTTAATCATTAGGCTTAACAGTCATGAAGGTGATATGTGTAGCAGTATCTAGAACCTGATCTCCAATAGGTAAGTGCTTTAAAAACAGTATTAAATTTTTAAAAATCTTAATTTCAAGTCAAATCACATTTCCCAATCAAAATTGAACAATAATTTGGGTGTTGCCAAATCTTTCTCGATCTTGAAAGATTTTTTGCCATGCATGATTCCAGGATTTTTCCACAAGTAATGAGAAAATTTAAATGTAAATCATTGTCATTCAAGGTACACAAAAACAAGAGAGGAGTCCACATTAGCATATAAGTAGACTGGCATTTCAAATCCCAGGTTGGATTAGCCAGAATTCCTGCACTGATGCTGGAAGTGTGCTCTCATTAATTTACTAACTGCACCCTGGGGACAGGGGTGAGAACTAAACAAGTCAGTAAGAGCACCTGCTGTAACCAGGGTGCTTTTTTGTGAACCACTTCTGGGTTGTAGTAATTTAATGAGGATTTTTATCTTATTTGTATTATACTCAGGTTGTCTAGTTTGACGATAAGTTATTGCAGTAAAAGAATGTGAGGCTTTAAAGTAATTTTTGAACGCAGGTGTGAAACATTGATGATGATTCCTTAAGCCATTTTAATTAAAGCATGATCTAATTCTAGCAACAAATTTTGGAAAGAATTTTTTAATTGATTACATCAAACAAAAAAGGAAGATAACCAACCTCTCTTTGATTAATGTAGTCAAAGTTTGAATAGGTATTTAAGTAGATAAAACTCCAATAAATCAGATGTGGTTTGATAAGTATCTTTCCAGCTTCTACACTGTTACATTCAATTATCACAACTAAGTCCACACCCTGTATATCAACTTGTCATGAATGAGATTTACAACCTGAGCCCATGTTATGTCAGAGATGGAAACCCAGCAACAGTTGAAGGGAAATCAGGGTAGTTGTTGCCAGATCAGTTCTGTTCACTGGAGGAATGTTCATACAGTACCAAATTTGAAATGGTAATGAGCCAAAAACCTGTTATCAGGAATAAAAAGTTAAAAATGAATAAAAAGTTATATTTGGCGGTAAGAGTTATGAAGAGGCCCCACCATGTCTCAACTGTCTGGTGTATCAATTGGTTATCTGTTGACACATTTTGGACTCCTCTCCGTTCCAAGATGTGCCACTTGTGAACAGACCCGTAGAGTTCCTGTGTGATTTACCATTCACTCCAGCCCCCATTGCATCACTCCCAAGGTTCAATTAACATGCAGGTTAATTAACTTGATGTCTATCTGGTTGTAAATCTCATCAGAGCTTATTACCAGGAGGGGACTCATGACATGTATCAGTCTGAAGGAGAGTTAGTTTTAATAGCAGGAATCTCCAAAGCAAGACTTGCTGGCTCTGGAACTGGCATCTGGCATTGGTTTTGAATGCAGTCTTGAGGTGCTGATCCCTCTGTGTACCTGTTATGGGAGCTTTCAAACTTATTATGTCTCTGGTAAGGAAACAGTTGCTTATTTCATTTGGTATGTTGCATATTTTGGTCATACTTCAGGTAAATTTTTTTTCTCTTTTGTCAAAATAGATGGATTGCAAAATGGAGAAAATTTTTATCCTAGGGATCAGTGATGGATCTCCACTAAATTTGGTTGATATGGGTTAGTTTTTAAAGATTAACTCCTACATATGATGTTTTATGTATAGTACATTTATGTGGCAAATTATGAAAGTTTTTGGTGATTAGTTAAGTTTAGGCCAACATTTTAGTTCTGTCTTGTTTAGTTAGTCTTCGAATTAAATATTGAATGATATGTGTTTAGATTCAGGTAGCATGATGATTCTATAAAGTGCATGTGTTCTGAATGATAGACAAATATCAATAGTAGATAATAAATGGAAGTCATTGTTATTCCTACGACCAGCATGTTATCTTTAGATTATTTCCCCACTCTAACCACAAACTAACCTCCATGTTATAGTATCTCTCCAGGCATTCATTTTCAGCTGGTGCTTGACAATGAAAAACACAACAAATTGTACATAACTGTTTGATTTAGTGTGCATAATTTCTCAATAACGAACACACACGCACACGCTTGAACTGACTGTCCGTTTTCAATGCTTCGTCATGTGATATAACAAACCTTGTATGACTGTAATATTCCTATGTGTCAATGTCATGTGTGTTTCATCAGTCACGTGTGAATTTCCAAAAGAAAGCAATCTTGTCGGCATGAAATTATTTTGCGCAGTGTCACTCTTGTCTGTTTGCGTTAGTCTTCTGCAAGTCTTCTTCGGAAAAAAAGCTCAGCGTCCTACGCTTCAGTTTCAAAGTGTTCACCGTCCTGGATCAGTTGCCATGCATGGGGCAGAGATAGGGTCCCTTGATTGAAATTCTGCGCTTCATTTCACTGTCTTCTTTGCAATTTTAAGTCCTGTAATTTGATGATTAGACGCCTTTCTGTCGCTCTGATTGGGTTCAGTAAGAGGGCTTACTCCAGTAGGGCTTGAGTAAACCTTACTGTGACTGAGAAAAATTGGTAGCTTTTGTGTAAGAATGGGGGATGTTGTCTCACCTGCAGTTGCAGCTGTTTAACTTACCTGTAACTTAAAACACCAAATAATATCCCTAACATGGGCTGAAAATTAACACCGAAAGGTGATAACCAAAAAATTATATCATACCCTTTTGGTCCTTTTCTTTGTCATTTATTTTTCAGTGGGGGTTCTTGAACAGGGGATTATGATAAATGAGCTCTCTGTTATACCTGTGGTTTAAAGTTACTTTTTTGATTTTGATTTTTTCCTGAAACTAAAAGACCAATAAATTTGTATGAGACAGTTCAGAGTTTTTTATTTAAAATTTACATATTATAAAGTTCAAATCAGGCCGCAAACAAGGGACAAAGCAGTTTTTTATTAACTAATCTTTCCCAGGTTTCGGAGCAAAAAAAAATAACTTGGAGCTCCAGCCTAGTTCATCTTTTACTGCCATGCCTCCATAAATCACTTAAATATCAAAGGATATTAGAAAGTGATCAAATTAATGCCTTCACACTTTTGAAATTTTTTAACAGTGTTCAGCTGTTCTTTTAATCAGGTGGCAAAATTGTAATTGATTTTAAGTGTAAAACAGCTGCCTGTTACATCCAGGGTCAGAAATTTTGGACCCCTTTACTGGTAACCTTGGACATTTTTTGGTGGACCTTTATATGGAATTTTATTTTTAAGCTTTGTAGGAATTTTTCTTTGGGTTTTTCAAGAAACTTTTTGTTTGACCATCAGCAGGCCTAAGTTCAGCAACAAGGGTGTTGATAGGCAGCAGTTTGGGATTTTGTATAGTTCAGCATTCAGCTTGGATCTAAAACATAACCATTTCATTGTAAACCTCAAGCTGTCCAGGATGCTTAGACTTTCCACTGTTTTAAAAACACAGTGATCTGGCATTCCTTCTCAGCCTGTACCCTGGCAACCACTGGGTACTTCCTTACCTTCTGTCCTATATAAGGCAGAGATATAAACATGTCAGATACATTGTAGCCACTTGAGTGGCAGGGTGCTCTCCCCTGGATACAATCTGTGTTTTTCTTTGAACTTCAGCTCCAATGTGTTGCTTATATTCAAAGTAAATTCTTGGCTTATTCAATTTTGCAGCTTTCATCTCAATTGAGCCCACTCACACAGTTGAACTAGGACGTTGGAAAGTTTTGGTTTTCTTTTGTTTCTGCAAAAGTGGTTCTACATCATTTGTCATTTTGTGTCCAAACTTGAATCAGAGAATAATATATTTTTAAATTTCACATTTTTGTAGATTCTCAGATAAGTTTGGTCCATATATTACAGAAAGATTTAATTCATAATAGAAATAAAGTTATTATTTTTTTAACATTCTGTAGTCTAAACATTGTTATTACTTAATTTTTATCATTAAAAAGTGAAAATCACCCTGCAAAGAGTGATACCATTGTGAGCGAGAGTACAGCCCCACTTCAAAGAAACATCTGGCAACTTGTTGCACCTTGGTTTTATCAAGTCAAGCTTTGTTATTTCTGTTCACGGGTTCCTTCTATGTTTGGTATTGTGCTTTGCGAGATGTCTGTTCTTTGAGAGGTTCGAGAGCGGTAACAACATTTGATTATGGACAAACCATGTTACTGAGGAGAGGGCTGATAGGGTTCATAATTAATATGCAGATGAAGTTAAAGCATGACATTTCAAGGGCTAAAATCAATAATAACATTAAATGGATTCTAACAATGTACACAGTGGTTAAGTTTGAACAAAAAGACCCCCCATAGGGAGCCCCTCTGTTCTGGTTTGATCTTTTTAAGGTATACACAAAAGAAAAAGTGGAAACAGGTTGTAGTAGGTGTTGTAGAACCTGGAGAGTAATGTAGATCAGAATTCCAATGGAATCTAGAAGCATAGAGGTGTTATTTGGTATGTAGTATTTTGTTTCTTCTTGTAGGATTATTTTATGTGAGATTGTTGTTATTGTTTTGTTTTGCAGAAGCAGTGTCAGTGAATATTTACCTTTGTCTCTTGGCATCTATATTGTCACCTTTCAAGAAGAAGTTTGTTGAAGATGACAAGATAGCCATAGGAAATTTAGTGTTTGAATCATGTTAAAAGTCACTTCTGCATGCTGCTTCAGCCCTGTATCAGTTTTGATCTGGCTCATAGGCAGGGGATCTGGGTGTTTCTAATGAACAGCCTTTTTTGGACGGAAAAGGTCCACTCTTAATCAAAATATGATCTAGCTTTCAAACTTTTTCTCAAATTGGGTCTGTTAAGGGATAAAAAAGGACCACTTTTTCAGAAAAAAAAACCCCCCCCCCCCCCCCCCCCTCTCCTTGAAATTGCTAGCTACAGGTCTGTCTGATTGTTTGGTCATACATTCATCTTCCTGAAATTCAACCCAGGTCTTGTTTCCAAGGTGATCATTATATATCATTTAAATAATTAATAAGATGTATTCAAAAAAAGTTTTTTATGAATTCCTAGATTGCCCACTCAAAGTGAGTTGTGCTTACTCCAGTGTAAAACCCATCAACTACAATCAATGTAACCCTAGCCCGTTTCATTATGATTAAGTCCCCCAAGAGGAATCAGTATAATATGTACCTGTAAATTCTTAGTCAATGGAATAATTACCTGGAATCGATAACCATCGTGTGATTGATAAGTGAAAGGTATTCCACGATTAGCCTGTCAATTCAGAAGTGGTGTCAATCAGTCAAAGAGAAGAGAAGAGAAGCGTCTTGTGTGGGGTGTCCTGTGTTTGAGGTGGGGGTTTCAGTGATAAGGTCATTCAGCCAGGTAATTACACGCTTGGGAGGGTATTAATAGATAAATGATCATAATTTATAGAAGAAGTGTCTGTTATTGTGTTGTGGTTCTTTAGACTGCTAGAAGTTAATTTTCTGTATATGTAAAGTTGAGCTTTTTTGTACGTGTGGAAGTCACTCTGAAAAAAATTTTAAGATAAAACAATTTTCTTCTTCAGTCCAGTCAAACAACCTCTCATTTTAAAAATAGATATTGAAGATTTGCACATATGGACATCAAAATGTAGCATTATAATCTTATGATACCTCATATGTTAAGCTTGATTTGCTGAAGCCATTGTTGCTAGTGCTGAAGCCATAAGTCATGTGTATACTACTATAGACTATTCTAATCAGATAGGACACACCCAACGTAGTATTATATAGGCTTCACTTTATCAAACAAGTAAATGAAATTAATGCATATAATAAGTGAGATGGTTTTGTGGGTAGTGCTAGTCAAGTTTATTTCTTACTAAAAACACTGGTCCTGTGGCGATATTCATCCCTGCTGTCATTGGACCCCTCCCCTTGCCCCAGGGTACCTGCTTTGCCCCAGGGTAGTGGACTGAAGAGGGCATGCACCTCAGTCATCTGCCACCCTTTCTTACCCTTGGGAACAAGTTAATTGCTAGGTTCATTTCTTTATTCAATTTTTTTTTTGTTTGTTTGGGGGAGTCTGATTACCTTTTATGCAAAAATGATTTTTTCCGTGACAAAATTTCTTTTACTTTTGAATCTACGTAAGCCTTCAGTTTTCTCTCCAAATTGCTGACCAAATTACAATTATTCAGTTTAAATGTTCCTTGACGTAATGGAAAGCCTCACATCTGTTGACTTTGGCAATAGACAACAAGAGAAATGTAACAGCGAATATCCACCTGAAGTGTGGCAGAAGTCAGTGATTTTGTACTTGAAATTTAAAGCGGTTACCATCATTTAGCCCTGTGGTAAATGACTTAAGGCAGACACGGAGGGGATTATTTGAGGTGCAACAAAAGAAACACTTGCCTTAATTTACCCCTTGTGCTGATTGCATAAAGTTCAATAATGGCCCCTGAGTAAAGACATTGTGGTGATTTTCTTCCATTCATTTATCCCTTCTATGAATGTATCTCAATTCAAATGGAGACATTTTAGAGATGTTTCAGTCTTTTCCAGTTAAATTAAC